CGAACGTTCCCGTGTTGTGGACGTCGATATTTCAGAATTTACATAGCCTTGAAACCGCACTATATGCGCTATACGTGACCGTAGGCTACGTAGGTGGTGGAATTCTTTTTTAATCGATTCGAACAATGCAGAAAGATATAGGCTCGACATGCCTATCGTTTATCTAAGAAAAGGCCAAACCCAATTAGAACGATCGGACTCAACTTCTGGAATTCAATGGGGGCAATTGGAAATGGTTACCACACATTGTTCTGTTACATTGTTAATTTTAATGGGACAGATAGCCGTGTTATTGGGGATAGTCAAGTTGTAAGATTTAATGGGTGCGGAATTGAAAGTGCGCAGATGCTTGATTTTTCGATAATTTTTTAACCGTAACTGATAATTGCCAATAATTTTACGTCCACAAATTTATTTTATATTGTTCATCGTATCGAATGTATTTATGTATTTACATAAAAATGATTTACGAATTTTTTTTTCTTCGATTTATTACTAAATTGTATAATTTCATTCTAAAAACAGAAAAAAAAAATATATATATATATATATATAATATACTCAACGACATGCTAACTGATAAAAAAAGTTTCGAAACAACCGTCACAAATTAAATCTGTTAAAAACTTAAATAAATTAGGTCGACGTGTTTTACCATCATTATTTAAAATTTCGCACGAAATGTTTTTTAATAAAAAAAAAAAAGAAAGTATTATTCGTTAAAATAAACATAAATTACCTACATTATACGTATTCGTTAAAGTAAACAGAAGAAAATTATAAAAGTGTTACAAGTATAATATATCTAAAGTCGTTTACAAAGAGTCACTTGAAAAAAAAAAAAAAAAAAAAAANAAAAAAAAAAAAAAAAAAAAGAAGAAGAAAAAAAAGTGTTTCATTTAACCTCATAACCCTTCACTGCCTCAACAGTTCATGCATCTTTGAAATCGTCTGGGAAATTAGTATTCCGTTTGGTATCCCTGATTGATGACATTGCGTTTATCGAACGGCGTGCAGCAATGCACACAGATTATTCATCATATTAAAAAGCGTTTTCACCCGTCGCGCATTCATTCGAGTGTTACATTCCAATAAATGGAACTTAACAATCAGCCGTAGAAATTGGTACGCGCATGCTGCATGACGTATGCACGAGGCCAGCAACCACCGTAAACAGAATTATACAATACCGAACGTGCTACCATTAATTAGAGTAACTTTGTTGGCACGTGCGCGTGTGCGAGCGTGTAACGCGGCCACGCTTTTATATTAATGGCGTGCAAAATGTTTTGACACCTCGGCTGCGGATTTTTAATTGAGAAGTATCGTCGCCAGACAGTTACAAACAATTTGGCCAACTTAATATAATTCGATCGACGAAAGACAGTTTCTTCTAGTTTGAAAAAAAAAAAAAAAAAAAAAAAAAGGAAAATATCTAGTTTCGAACGATATTTCGAGAAAGTAATAATAATAATAATTGATTATTAAAATAAAAAATTTTAAATAAAATAAAATTGTACGAGCGAGTGGAATATTGAATTTCAATTTTTTTACAAAGTCTCGAAGAAGTTATGGTAATAAGTGGTGAGACATCGTCGCTATCGGACATAGATCACACGATACAGGAAGAAGGCGGTCTGGTTCTTGCGATAGAATATTAATTGAATGGTCCAATAAACGGGTCTAGCATAAAAATGAATTATCAATATTGATTGATAGTAGAAAGGAAAATAAAATGATACTTTGTGTTATTTTAAAACGAGATGCAATCAGATGATTAAATGGTTAGTTTAATAAATGTATTAAATAAATATGTTGAAATTCGTGAATATTTCAATATTTGATTTTATAAAATATCCTCCATTGTTTGTTAAAATTTAGATTTAGTGAATTTAAAAAGAATAAAATTGATCGCGTTATCGCTAGATGAAAAGTTTCTCTGTTTTATCAGGCACAATGACAACAACTGATCGATGCAAATGTCACGAGGTGCTTATTACACAATCTCAAAATAAGCATTTTTAATAGGTCATCTAAGGTCTCAGATTAATCGCCACTTCTCATTTTTGTACACGTAGCCGTAAAATGATTGTGCCTACTGTATTTGAAAGTTGTTTATTTAATTCTCGCAAAAAAAAAAAACGGACACGTGTAGGCAGATACGTGAATAGATACCTGTTTTAATGAGTAACAGGAATAGACATGTGTACATTTTGACCCAAGGATGCTTTCATGAGATTACAATTAACGCTTTCTGCACTATTTCATGACGCTAAGCTCTAACGATCACAATCATCAGGTAGTGTTGAGATTTCATTAATCAAAATTTCACAAAATTTCATCGAATTTGCAACTCTATAGTTCTTATTAATATTATATCGTGAATGATGTTCGTGAAAAATATATTGCGACGTATCGATATAAATATGCAGAGAATTGTACTTTATCGGTATAATATGAGTAAAGCATTAATTAAAAAAACTGTAAACAGATTTATAAACAATGTATCCTTAAAATCAACGATTAACATTTGTTTTGTCTTAAAATTTTCTACACGATAAACTAAAAAAAAAAATGATAAATTTTAAATGAAGAAAATTTTAAATTAAAAAAAGTATTAAATTTTAAAGCGATTATATGAATAAAATAGGCGTCGAAATAGGCGTAAAAAGTATATAAAATCCTGAAACTGCCCTAACGCAAATATTAAATTTTCCACTTACGATATATCGTATCAAAACGACATTTATACAGCACGATAAAAAAGAAAAAAAGAAATCCAACGACAAATATCGATACAAAGACAAATTAAAGCCATCGAAATTCGCGCAGAGGTAGCGCGTTATTGGCAGGAATCCGCAAGAGAGAACTCGCCTATTTCCGGAGATGAGCGAAGCGCGCGAACACCACGGCGTACCGTGAAAATTCAAACTGCGAAACGTCCTTCCGGGCGAGCGGAACGTTTTTCTATCGTGGGTATACACAGGCGGCCGGGTGCTGTGTCGAGAGCCCGTGTGAAAACCGACTTTTGTGCAGCCTCGCCGCTGCTAGTAGCAGCGCGGACAATGAAACGTACTGTAGGCGGCAGGCAGGCGTTACGACGGCAAATCCAATTCACGCACTATCGACGCGTTACCTAATAGCGTACTACGTGGATGCAGATACACAAGAGCGACGTCACGTGCTCGACGAGGCACCTGCGCTCACGCAAAGCAAAAATAAAGGTGCGCGAGACGAAGTGTAGCAATTGCCACGGGTTGGCACACGGCGAGGCGGCTTGTGTGACTAGGCAGCCACACACAGACACGACGAACAGTTCCGTTCACGCAACGGGCAATGCGTTACCTAAGAACGCGTAGACGCGCAATTTCAACCAACCATCTCGCCCCTCCTCTCCCGCCGTTGCCCTCTGATGCGGACGATCTATGAAAAACAACGTGCACGTGGACGCGCATGTAACACCGGATCGATCTGCAAATAACGGCAGACAATAATCGCGTTTATCACGCGGGAAAATACCCGGTGAGCACCGTGCGACGAGGGTCACCATAAAAACCAGGAGCCATAATGAAGTATCAAGGCAGCTGGTTGGACGTGTTCTCGCTCCCTTCTTTCTATCTCGCTTTCTATCTCTCTTTTCTTTTCTCTCTTTCTCTTTCTTTCTTTTTTCTTCTTTCTTTTTCGGTGCAATTTCTCCGAGTGCTCCACCACCGCATCGCAACACCGTCGTTTCATTCTGCTACCTACAGTCGTACTAGACGCGCGTGGCTTTCCTGGACTAACGTTGGCTACGTGGCACGATTGCGTTTTCCTCGTGACAAGGAAAAACCGCGGAACAGCGAGAAATTATGGAGGTGGAGATGTTTAATGTACGATTTGATTGTAGATTTGCAAAGATCTCACGACGAGACAGAAACGAGATTAAATTGATATTTTACAAAGATTTATAAATAACATTCGATTCTGTTGATTTAAATCGCAATTTAGGAATATAAAATTTAATTACTTTTATTTACTATATTTAAAATTCTTTTGCACGAGATAGGTAAAATTTCAAGTTATATTTCGAGCATCAGTATTCGATATTTTGTATCTATGTTGTAGCGTCTACGCAAACGCGGAATTCTAAGTCTTGACATACAATGACGATGATCGATAAAGGAAAAACTCGCGTGATTCTACGGAAATCACGACAAAGTAATTCCATTCACACGGATTCTCTCGCGTTGGCATATCAAATGGACTTCAGTACGTAGCTATAATTTATGTTCATGCAAATATATACGTATACATATACATATAACGTATACATATAACCCAACAAAAATTTGAAAAGGAAAATTATGCATAACTAGTTCCCGGGCTACATACAATTTGTTAAACACTTCAAAAGTTATTCAAGTTGTTCAAGAAAAAAATATAAAAAATATCACAAGTACGGTTATTTTGACATTCTAACCTATATTTAGCAATACGCAAAAAAGCGTTGAAAAAAATAATGCATCGTGATCGATCGAGAAACATCATTAAAAAAATAGTCAAAGGAGTATTATGCGTGTTAACGTGCCACCGTTCGGCCTTCTTTCATCGGATGAAGAAACTATTTACATTGAGGCAATTCAATTTGCACGATGGATTTGCGTTTAAACCGAGTCGGCACGACTCGCAGTAAATTCCGGTTCTTACAGCGGCGATCACGAGCTATCAGCCTAGGAATAATTTATCGGCGACGATCGCATTAAAGTAGCTACAATGAAATTATTCCCTGCAGCGGTACATCTGTGTGCAAGTACACGTGTGCGTATATAGACGCGTGATCTTGCGAGCTGGCTCGCTAGCAAACACGCGCGCGCGCGCGCGCCCTCTCGAACACGCACGCGGTTGCCGCGAGCTTTACGGATGTAGTCGACAGTCGGACGCAATTAGTATTACCTAAGAATCTATATAGTTATACATATCGTAACAACTATATTGCACGAAAAATATATGTAAGTAAGTACCTGTGCGCGTAAAACTGCTCATCGATGTAGCAACGACATTCCGCGCCACCTGGCCGAACGCGTGTTTACTTTTTCTAATTCGAAGTCGCACGTGTCGCGCATTCGAGGCCCCTTTGGAATTCTGATATGATTCTCCGTAGTATTACGCTTTATTCAATTCTTTTCTTGATACCTGTATACAAAAAAAAAAATTTCTTTTTTTCATGAATATGATAAGAAGGATTTTTAAAAGAGGTTAGAAAATAGATTTTTATTCGATACGAATTTGAAGAAATGAGAATTAGGTTAGGGGGAAAAAAAGAATGTTTTTTTGATAGCGTTTAATAATCCACGAAACTATCGAATTTAATACGAAAAACAAAATCTGCATATAAATTTTAGAAAAGCATCTTTGAGTCGACATTGCATAGGCGATGTAACAAAAGAAAGGAGAAGGGGAAAATACCTGTGACAAATCGGGGCAGAATTGCATGCGAATATCTGTTCCGTCGATGCATCTCTTTATCTTTCAATCTCTATCTCTCTTCTTCTTGTATACACGCACACGCGCTGTTCCTATCTCTCTGTCTCACACTATCTCTCTCTCTTTCTGACTCTCTTTCCCTCTCTCCCACCTCTCTCTGTCTATCGCGCACGTAAATTCGAGCTACACCAGTTCACACTGTACGAAATTTCTAATTTCGAGGCCAACCGTGTGACAAAGTACATCCGAAATAATTACCTTCCTTGCTGCGTAAGACGTCAATGCGTTTGATATTCTTACATGATCTCACCTCCCACTCTTAACACGGTGAACAGAGTTTTTTTGGTCCAACGACGCCTATGGCTCTACGAATCGCGAGATCTGCGAGGGAAACGTGCGCCGTCTCTGTATGTGTGGCTGTGCGCGTGAGCGTTTCACACCTGACTACTACGCTAGTCAAGTGAGCGACTGAAACGACATTAGATATTTATAAAATTATGATATCAATGTGAAATTTACACGTAAAATAGTTATACAATCAGTTAGGATTTATCGTGGACAAATTATACGCGTGGGCGGTGCCGAATCGATTTATTTTGTCGGTAAAGTCTGCGCGGCGAACACGGTAGGTTAGTTGACCGCGGGGCCGAGCGAGCGCTGAGCTGACAGTAGGCCGGCGACGTCACAGTGGGCCGGTTGAGCCTTCCTTCGTTCGATTCAGGCAGGCTCTCTATTCATTTTACATGTAGCAAGGTAAATATTTCTATGCGAGTGTCCATACGAATTCGTGGCTCCAAGTGCGTGCAAATTGTCGGCAGCGATCTGTGATACACGTTTCTCGTTTCTTTTTTTTTTTTTTTTTTTCAATTTTTACGACGAAACACTTTATCGGGGGTGTGAAGAAGTTTTTTCTCCTCGTTCGTGCCCGTTCCTGTTACATTTCACGACACTGGCTGCTACTGCTACTGTTGTTGTTGTTGTCGCCGCTGCTGCTTGCTGTCACAAGCGTTATTCGTAGAAAAAGCGGAAAGAAAAGAAACGAAAAAGAGAGGGATAAAGAGCACCGCGTCAGCTACGATTTTCTTCTGTCTCATCGTCTGATCCGCGAAAAAAAAATAAACAAAAGCACGGCAGGACACGGAACACGCACTTTGCATCCTCGACCAGATCATTGGATTTGCCATGAGAACGTCTCTGTCGTAGGAACAACGCGCCCGAGACACGTGAAATCCCACGGTTGACAGTTACCGTGGCGCGTACATCAGTGTATCGTGAATCGTTTCTTGCAACGTATCACTACCACATTCGACGTTGATCGACCTTGTGCTGTTTAACTTTTGGCAATCATTTTTTAAGAATTCGTACGCGAACGGTGTCTTATGATTCGACAAGTTTTTCACTTCTTTTGAGCACGAGCGTTCTTTGTCTGTGTCATCGTACAAATTAAAGTGTTTATGATGTATATGGTCGCGATTAAATCGTCCGCACTAATTAACACGCGTGAATCATTTTGAACGCTCTGAAAACCGATTCGAAACGTTTTTGGCACGAGCGATAGGCTGGGCAGGGAAAATTCGTTACGCCGCGCATCGGTACATGAAGACACGTGACAAGTGAAAAGTGAATAACGTAACCGTTTCGACAGTGTGCGATACTATCGATATTTCATCGTCGATTATTCGTCGATTGGTAAAAGTATGCATATTCCGATCGTATGTAGCGTGACGCGAATCAATCGGAAAAGTATATCGGGGCAGAATGGCGTGTTCGAATGGAGAAAAGTAAACAAAAGTTAAACGCACTCGTGAAAGCAACGTCGGTCGATCGTGTCACTGATTAAAACCAGCATTGACGTAAAGGAAGATTCCCGTGGAATTTCGTGACCGGGACGCGATTCGAGCAAAGTGTCGAAGATCGGAGAGTGAAAGATCGAGAAGTGCGTCGGCAATATGCATTGTGAGACAGCGTAAACACTTCGTCAACGCAACAACGATGTATTTTGCACCGACAGCCAGAGAAATATCAGCGGTGACAGCTTCCGAAATGCTGGCAGTATGTTATAAGCTTTCTAACCTACCGAGCTACCTAACCTATACTTGGCAGCGCAATCAAGCACGCGACGAGTGAGTTTACTATTGTTCGTTGCAAACAAGAATGTTATGTATAAAAAATGAATCACGAACAACATGCTGGATCGAACGAGGAAAAGAACGCGAGGCGACCGTGATTTGTCCGAAACGAGTCTCGATTGGTGTTAAAGCGAAACGTGAGGCAAAGAGTGCGTGTTCCGTGAGCCGCCAACGGCGGGACGAAAATATCACACGTGCGTCGGAAGAGTAAGCCGAGATTTTTGGAGGACGATGCCAGTCAAGTGGGCGATTGGTGAGCATTGCTTTTTGGGTGAGCGATCAAAAAAAAAAAAAATAATAAAAATAATAAAAATTGGAAAAATTAAATGCCAAATAGGGAAGAATTTTCACGGGGAATAAACTAGATTATTCTCGTTCGAACCACGAGAATCGAACGATTGATCTCGCGTGTCATCATGTTATCGCATCGTTTCTCTGCATCTTGAAATCACTTCGCGAAACGTCTGTTTATTGACAGCTCGAAATTCCTGTGACTCGTGCTCGCCCACGATCAGTTCAATTTTAACTGACACGCGAGACCAGTTGTCCGTTAATGATAAAGTCGATCAACATCTGTTGTTACCTTCTAAAACTCGTATGATTTCTCGTTTGTCAGAAATCTTCGCCATTTCGTTACCACACGAAATTAATATCGTGAGGAAATATGATTTTTGTTACGATTCAAAAAATATTGCGAAGCTTGAATTTGTAAGCAACGATAGTTTAGTTCCCGCGGGGGGGAGAGGAAAAAAAAGATAATTTAGGGCGAGAGCGTAGGGTAAACCTCTTTCAATCGTACGGCCCTGCATGCTAAACAGCATAGACGTTTGACGTTTCGTGAAGGTCGCGTGCTGTAGCACTTTCCTTCTCGCACAGTCGACCGTCTCTCTATCCGTTTCTCTCTCACACATGCCGCCTCTGTCGCGCACTTTTTCTCTCTTTGTCCATCTCGCTGCAACATTAACCTTCTCTCTTCCACCGCGTCTTTCCGTCGTCTCGTTTCTCCGTTGCTCGCCTCTTTATTACGTCCATCCGTCTCGCCCTACGCACATACACGCACATACCCTACGGTCGTTTAACGATCGTTACGCGTTGAAATTGTCACGACTCATTGCTTTCCGGGAAGTTCCGCGAATTTTCCACGAAGTTGCCGCGTTCATGCCTGCCGCACGCGCGTTTCGCGTCCCCACGCGGATTTTCACGTTATCGACGCGTACGTGACATTGAAGATCTTCGGTAGGAATCGCTGGCAGCACAGTCTATACAAAGTAAGGCCAAAGAAAATATCGTTTCCCCGACAAAATTGAAACGACTGGATTTTCTTCGTAATGATATAAATTTTATCATTTTCTTTAGGAAATTTTATCTAGTTATTTCTTGTTGATCACGTGATATAGGAAAAAAATCGATATTAACGTCGATCGAGATAACGTTCTATCGCAACGATGCGTTTAGAAATCACGTTCGTCAGTTTCGAAAACCGCGCTCACGATTGTTGTTGCGGTGCAACGATTTGGGAAACGAATACGAAAACTTTGAGTACACTCTCCGCGAATTCACTTTCTACGCGGCCGAATAAATCAGGAAAATCTGTTACGATACAAACTGTTCGCACAGCTGTAGTATCACATATGTATTGCCCTTTTTACGGTGACACAGAGTGTTACGTATTATGCGAAATAGTATTTGTCGAGTTGAGAAATTCGATGTCGAGAAAGTTATATTATAGCATTTCGTACTAGCCGTCGCGGAATCGAAGAAAACTTGTCCTACGAAAACGCATAAGTTTAGATCGATCTTAGTTTTAACAAATTCTTCATTTTTATTAAAAAATCTTCGAATACAATTTATACAATTTCAAATCAATTTATATATTAGATTTACATATTAAATAGATTATATATTAGATTTATATATTAGATATATATTAGATATTAATAATACGATAAATTTATATTTCTAGTAATTTATATTTCTTCTAGTAACTATATTTCTTCCATATTTAAACATAAGAAAAAATCACGAATATTCTGAGTAATATTTTTATTATAAATTTTATTAAATAATATTTATTTGTTTCCAAACATATTTTTGTTTCTTCGATATGATTCATAAATTCACAATAGGCCATCAAATTCAAATTTTGACCAAAAAAACCATTTCATTTAACCAATCTTTTAAATTTTATTTTAAATACGAGATACCGTAACAATGTACACGTATCGAGTATATAACAAAAATTTTACACGACGTATTCTATCAAAATGAAGAGCGCGATAATTACAGCTACCGTTCTAATTTCGGTTCTTCTCAATCGCATTCCATCCTCGCCGCTTCGAAAGAAAAAAACGAGAAATTAAATTCCCGCGAGAACTCGAAGAAGTGACCAATAAAAAGTACGAAACTTCTTCCCGGCCGTGGTTATGAGAAAGTTTTCGAGATTTTACCGAGGAGGGGAAAAAAAAAAAAAAAAAAAAGAAGAAGAAAAAGAAAGAAATCAAAGAGAGAGAGAGAGAGGGAACGACGTAGTCGGGCACGGTTTATCGAACGAGGCGCGCCCCTTATTCGCGTCATTCGCCAATGCCTACGCATTAATAGATTCAGACAGAAGCGTGTCAGGGAATCAGCTGTTGGCACGTTCCTCGCTCGATGTAAATCATGCGTTTCGGAGTAACGCGAACCGCATAAACCGGTACGCGTTTTGTGGAAACGCAAAAATAGCGTCGGCCCGTTACGAAAGAGAACCGCGCTGGTATTTTGTATATTTTCTGGACTGATTAACGCGCGAAGAAATTCTTTCGAAAGAACGAACTCTCAGGTCATTAACCATTGATAAATAAGAGAATTTTATAGAAAGTACATTTTCGTGACGATATCTGTACGTATACGATAATTATAATTATTAATAATTAGTAAAAATATTGTATATATTCATTCATTTCATTCCACTTTATGTTACGCGTTAAATAATAATAATTTTATTAGCGCACAAATAGGCTTAGTTTCAATCGATTTACGATCACTTCTTCTTTATAAACGACAAAACAAATAAAGGAGGAATATATACAACAAATGTAGCACGTCACGGTTATTAACATAACAAAAAGCAGCCGAATGTGCGAAACCGTTACACAAACGAATTAAAATGAAAATAGATATTTAAAAATTCACGCAACAAAAGTCGGTAAAGCNAAAAAAAAAAAAAAAAAAAAAAAAAAAAAAAAAAAAAAAACTTGTTTTTGCGTCGGGAGGAAGAGACGCATTGCGACGTATGCGATTAAATTCCAGCGAAATATTTTTAAACGTCTCCACGTTTCGATAGATCCTCGATAAGATAATATCGAATTGTTACCGCGATGCTCGTGGATCACCGTGGGAACGGTGCCAGACATTTGCATAAACTACGTTCGATCCGGCGAGCCGGCCACGATTTTTCGAGCTGTAAGAAATCATTATCGGGTAACGAGACGTGGAAAAAGGGGGGAGAGGAGGGAGAGATACAAAAGAGGTATCCGATAAATGGCTGTGTATTCGTTGTATCCGAGAGATCGCCGTTCTCACGATTTACCGGAAAGCGAATCGTACTACGTGCATCTACTCACATTCTTACGGCCCGTTATCGAT